ACCACAGATATACAGTAAGATGTTCAAGCCCCTCACTCTCAGTGCTGAACAGCCAAGTAGGCTATGAGATCAGTACCCCAAAGTAACTCTACCCAGGCCCCTGCTCTGCATTCACCACTATGTGAAGCTAATTTAGCTGACAACCACACTTCAATTAGCTGGAAATTTTAGTTAGCCACTGTACTCTGTGACAAACTAGAATACAAATTCTTCTACTGTGCTACTTAGTATACAGACATCCTCAGACTTCTCTAACAAGGGCATTTTCACTAGTCCTGGTTAATTTTTTTGTAAATCAAAATTTGTTAATGGAAAGACCTTTAACCCAAAATGAGAGTTTTCTGGGGAAATTTTCATTTTGGCCCCAAAATTAGAGGGGGGGGGGTTTCCCAATAGAAAGCTGGAAATATAAATGAAATTAGTAAATTATTGTCAGTAACATAATTTATTTTAAATTCAGATTTTATTTTTCATAAACTGGACTATTTACCAAAGGTTAGATATATTTACCGAAACTAAAACTTTTTACCAAAAGCAACTTGACATGTCAATGTTCCAACACACACACACACACACACACACACACACACACAAATCACTATTTTATTTTTTTAATCTCCCATGAAAACATATTTTGCATTAAAGCTGGCCAGAAATCCTACATCGGAGTAATTTTCTAATGAGTAATGCAGTTTCTGCAAAACAAAACTTTTCTGTGGGAAGTAGAGGCATTAAGAATAAAACCTATAATTCCCATGAGGCAATGTATTGTAAAGAGCATGTTTAATATTTAAATATTTCAAATACTTTTTTTCAAAATTTTAATTTCAAAGGGAACAAAATGAAATTTCAACTTTTGTCACATGCTACAACAACAAAAATGCTGAAATGACTGAATTCCCCACAGGATGCAACTTCTGAATTTCACTTAGCTCTCATTCGCATTTTTCTACTAGCTTTAACTGCTACATTGCTATTAGCATGGAAATATTTTCTGTCCTTGATTTTAGGTCCATTTGATTTCTTTATTGGGAACTTCCTATGACTACAAAAGTTTCCACAGTTGATACTCTTGGACCAAATTACAAAGGATTTAGTTCAGTAGGCCTCTTGCATTTGGCTTACAGAATAGGAAACCATTCCAAAGAGGATATGTTTCATGTAACAGAAATTTACCATGCAATGAGCATATAACCATGTAACCAAAAACAGTAATACTTTATGGATGTTGTTTGTACTTAATGTAAAAGATAATCAACTGAGAACTGACCCATAGCACCTGCTAGGCTATGGACAGAAGCAAATTAATACAAAGAGTTACTTGTGGCCCACATTGTCTTGAGAGCCTGGATATTACTGCATAACTCCCAAGTTGATCAGAGGCACAGGCCAAAAATACATTTATTACCCATTTGAGCAACTGAATCTCAATTTGACATTGCCATACTATCTCAACCGTTGCCATCCCATCCCTATATCTTCCAGAAATATAATCCTGATGTCCTCACATGAGGAACATGAATATGGGCGAGTGTAACTTTCTCTGCCATCACTGGGAAGAAGGACTACAAAAAAAAAATGGCCAAAGCCTCAGCTCTGAATTCTGCTGAAACAGAACTGGAAACTCCAACCCCCCAAAAAGCATTAGGCTCACTTATTTCAATGGTAAAAAGCTAAAGACTACAAAACTAGGTTTCTCGAACAAGCTGCCTAATCAGGAGCAGTGAAATCTTTGTTTCCTGTAAATAACTTGTTTCTACAGTAATGGAAGTTCTGCTTTGCTCATTGTTTCCTCATATCTGTTGTCAGGTGATATGTTAAAAAATTGGTTTGCCCAGTCTAATTAAGAGATAAAAGTTAGGACAAGATGAAGGACTTATCTAGCCTGAGGCAATGGCTGAAATCAATAACCACCTTCCAAGGCTACAAATACTGTTGGCAGAAAAGGAACAACACTGAATCCCAATGATCTCTCTCAGGCCACGTTTAGTTCTTCAGTTGCTTCCTGACAAACTGAACTGGCACCTCCATAGCACTAATTCAGTGCACCAGCCTGATGAAAGGATTAGCTTTGACCAAAAAGGGTATTATTTCAAGTCTATGCTGCTCTTTTTCTTTCACAAACATTTTGAGAAGGATCTTATTTTGGGGAGGGGCAGTGGGAGGAAGAAATCAATTGTCTCCATGGCTATCTAAAGCTTAGTTTAAGAGAGACCATAAACATTTATTAATCTACTACACACTGGAATGGTTTGGGGTCACTTTCCCCATCAGACACGCACCTGACATGTCATTCCTTAATGCTGTACGCAGGTGTGTCATCAGCTTCACCCTTTTGTAGATGACAACAGTCAGCTTCACACACAATGCCAGATGTTCCAACAATAGATATTACAGCTATCTAATTTTCTGGCAGACAACTCATGTTTTTATCATTATAAACTGGTAAATATCTGGTGAAATCCTCTCAGAGTAGTAGAGTCCTCTCTTCCATGAAAAACTTTCACTACATTAGGCATTAGCAGCTTTCCTCTTGATTTGTGTCTTAACCATGAGAAAAAAACATCACAGATGCGGGCTGCATTGTACTAAGAACATATGCATGCTTTTAAATCACTTTTATCTTACTTTTTACTAATGTAATCCTGAAATGTAAAATATGTTCTTTTAGCATTTACTATTATAGGCAGAACAGATGGTGAAAGGCTTAGATTAAAGTAATACAGCATGTCCATTAGAATAACCCCTACTGCTGGTGAGTCTTCATCAGATCAGGAGTTACAGTTACTGTAAAAAAGGCGGCGGGGGGGAGGTTGCTTTTGGAATATTTTGGAAATCACCAAAACTTTAGTTTACAGCAAGAAATGATAAATAAAAGAAAGACTGTCTAGAATTGAACTTAATCCTATCATTTGTATGCCTCTCTTTAAAACAGCTTGTGATTTGCCAGAGTAAAGAACTAATATAAACTGCAAAATGAATTCTTATGGTTCTATCAAGGGAAAATTTAGTACTAATATCAACAGTGGACAGTGGAATTTCTGTAACAAATTAGTTATAGTGTAGCATGTAAAAAAACTCAAGCATCCTTATCCATTTATCTCTTCTTAATTATTCATCTGTAGGTAGATAGACAGATGCATCCTACCCAAAAAGTAGGGATGAAACATGAAGCAGTAAAGGCTGATCAAAATCTGACTATAAAATGTTTCCATTAGAGGCAAAGACTTTCAACCTTTCCTTTAAATGATCATTTTTAATGGGTGATTAAACTCCAAAGCAGTTGGTCAGATGATCATAATTAAAATGTTTTTCCAATTTTGTTGCTATTTCCTGTGTACAGAATAAATGAGGTCCAGGGCTAGCTTTCTGGAATACAAAATAAATGAGGTCCAGGACTAGATTTTGGGAGCCCCCACCAGGATTATAATCATGAGAAAAGGATAGAGACATACTTTAGCCAATTCAGTCTTTTAGTTTTTCCTGTTTCTACATAACCTCAACAGGTTTTCTTCCCTCCTTTTATCCATCCTCTTTCCTGTACTTAATATAGCCACCTCTGTGATTAGACATCACTAGCAGAACACTGATCAATGTGTTCAGACAGCAACAAATCCCACAGTCACATAATTAATATTGAGCTATCCCACAATTTTGGCAGCCCTGGGACAGATATTGCCTTTTCCACAAACCAGCTGTGCTTAAGTCAACTGGAATCAAACAAATGTTGACCAGCATCTACAATTTAACAAAGTCACTTTTTGGCTGAAAATGCAAACACCCTATTAAACTATTGCTTCATCATAATGCAATACTAAAGAAAAATGTTAACATAGTGTTAAGTGACCAGAACGTCTGCCTCTTCATTTTCTAATAAACATGAAGCTGATCATCATTACTTGTATTTCTCTTGAAGTTCACATCTCATGTAGCTGTTCTGGTAGCATACAGCTGGCCAAATAATGGATTTTCAGTCGTCGCCCCGTAAAACACATGATTCCCTTTACTCTTCCAAAAATGAGGAGGCAAGTAAAAAAAATGCAGAAACTTAGGTACCATCCAAATTCCAAGAGACATCTCAGTAACCCTAAGAGATCACCATGCCCCTGCCCTCCCTCACCCCATGAATAACAAATCTCTAAAACCCTTACCCTCACTTTCTAGCCATAGCCTTGAATTACTATGCAATTCTCCATAACTGAGTGACAGATGTGTGGACTGAAAACTGATGAGCACAGGCAATAGCACCTGCTCCAAGTTCTTTACAACAGCTTCTCTTATTCTTTCAACAGTTTATTCAGTGGTTGGAAGGGCATGAGGAAACAGAGCCAAGCTGCCAGTGGTGCTGATGGTGATGTGCTGCAAAGTACAGTATGACCATTTTTAAGAGATTGGCAACCAGCGCTGCTGCTGCTTTATGTATGATGAAATCTATGATTTTACTACCATGCAGCTGGTGATAAGGATGTAAAATTAAATTGGAAATTCAATATTATAAACTTTCAGACAACTACCACTACTGAAACAAAATCTAGCAAAAAAAAAGTCTGGTGGCAAAGAGAAAAAATCTGTACTGATACGGGTTTTGTGTAAAAAGTATAAAAATGCAATATTATGTGTATATCGCAGGTCTTTACATAGGTAAGACACTAGTGAACAGTGAGTATTAAAGAAATGGAACAAAGGCAATGGAAAAAAATTCAGCAGCCCAAAGACAAATAGCTTGAACAACTTATTGGAAATATTTTTCATGCATAATTTCTCAAAACTCAAAGCAAGTTTTATTAAAGCTGTTCAGTAGAGCATTCAAGAGAAGAGGCTAGTAAATAACACAGAAGATCGTATGTGATCAAACTATTAAGTGATAATAATCAGACTGGCCATTTGCAAAAAATGGGTCTAGAAAATTAGAAGTCTGAATCAATATTTGGGTGCTGAAGAATCAAAAGATTTTTATTGTTGTGATTTGTAGAGCAACTGTGGCATTCAAAGACAACTACCTGTGGATATGGTGATGTCCTTGATTTTGACTTTGTATTTGAGAGGCGTGATTTGCTTCCCTTTCTGTTGTCCGTTATGGCTGGAGTTGAATTTGCATATGAGAACGATGGCTTTGTTGCTGTAACCTGATCCAGGGATAGTTGTAGTCCTTTATATTCAGTTTCCCTGTATAAAATTAGAAAAAAACATAAACTATCTCCAAATCTTAGTGGGACATTTTTCTCTTTTGTAGAAGATAGAAGCATTTTTTAGAAAAAACATCCAGAGCAACTTAGAACATCATCCTAACCTGTTTACATTTAGCTTTTCTCCACAAAAAGTATCTATCACTGGAAAAGTCTAAAAATATGTCTAATGTAATTTCTTGTCAACTAATGAAATAATGAATTCAAAAGTCAACCTGGTTGTCAATAAAGCATATTCCATCAGACTATGCAGTTTCATCAAAATCAAAATACTTTGCAAAACTGAATATTTTCATTATTTTTCTTTTTAAATAAACTTGTCATTTCCAAATTATATATTTTGCATTATACATTTTAACTTAAAATAAAATAAAAAGACAAAAGTGAAAAAGAAATTGATCAATCTGATGCCATTCATTTCAAAATTTTCTTCCAGAAATTTTGTAAAGTTTTGATTTTTACTCCCATTTGGAACAACACCAAATCATGAAATCTCTTAAAGCTTTGTGAAACAAAATTTCTGCTTTCTACACAGCTCTACTAAGCCCTCTGCTTATGAAAGCTTATGCTATACATATCTGTTTTAGCTAATCTATAAAGATGCAAATTACCCCACCTTCTGCTTGACTTCAGACTAACATGACTAACTACCTCTCTAGACAAATAACAAGAATTATTAAATGTGATTATCATTAGTATCAGAGAATAAAAATTATATGGAGCATCAGATCCTCGAAAGTCAAATGACTGTACACATTATCAAACTATTCCTTCATTCAAAGTGGATATTTGTATCAAACTTCCAAAGTAAAAAACGCTACATTAATGCAATATATGCACGTGTGTGTGTGTGTTTCTTGCCAAGAAAGACACATAATTCATTATATTGTCAGACATTGGCAGGAGTCACAGGAACACACATTATTTCATGTGCTTCAAGCATACTACCCCAAAACTTGCCTCATTTTTTTATTTTTAAGTATCATTTGACACATCCCTTTCTCGCCACCTTGGCACCCTACTTTCATAGTGAGGATAGGCACTCTGAGGATAATAATGCAATGCATTGAGTTGCTACAGTGCAGTTAAGAGGATCTGGATGGATTTTGTTTTTTAATAGACCACACATGAAACCATGTACAGTTGAATCACAGGATTTGTTAATATTTCTATGGAAAGTACTAAATTTAGATTGCTGCAAATCGTAAGGTGATAGAATTCACTGGACACAAGTATTTAGCTAATTAATGCATAGTGCATTTTACCTGTAAATCTTTAATGTTTCACAATGTTTTCATCCAAAATTGTACTTATTCTCCAGATTAATCCAGTCAAGAAAAATCAAAACATCTTATATAACTTAAATTACCAATCATGCACTGGTAGCCAAAAAAAACAGATCACAAAGTTATGTTTTTCATTCAAACTTTCTAGTGAAAACCTAAAATAATATGTGCATTTTCAAAATTGAAACTCTTTCATAATGTTTTGCTGACCAAAAAAGAGATCCATGCTGGAGAACACCATGCATCCCTGCAGGTCCACAGGGGTAAAAAAAAAGTCAAACACGGATGAAGTAAGAAAAGGAAATAGCTACCATCCTGAACCTGCTCACCATACCCCTAACCAAAGAAGGAATAGGAGAGCAGAGAAACTGTAATTTACTGTGTGAATGTGCAGTTGCATGCTACCCCAAATTCAGATTTGAAACTAAGGACTTCAGTCCTTAATGAATCCCATTAAAATCATTCAACACTTTCTATCTGCAAAATCCTGAACCACAATCCTGGGTCTACTGATGCAAGACATAGTCATGAAAAAAACAACAGGAACTGTAGAACAGCCTCTGCATATTACTATTGAGTATAATTAATCTTTTCCAAATGAATGCAAGGGCTACAGGACCAAACCTGATAAATGACTGAAAGCTTCCATATATCCAGATAGTTAAATATAATGAATCTCTGAACAGCTAGACAAATAAATTTGGGTCAATATGTCTGATTCCAGAATAAACCTTATTTGTACTTAGTAAGCAGTAAGCAACAAACCTGTCAGTAGAGCAGATTTCCTATTGAAGGCCTAGCTTTGCAGAGTATGCAAACAAGGAGTGCATGATAGACTTGACACTGCATCTGATAAACCAAGCTTTAGCTCATGAAAGTTTTTGGTATATATATCTACTTTTGATGAGTCTATGAGGTGGACATCTACCCTGCCTTATCCTGTAAATAAGACACTGTAATTGGAACAATAGATCAGGATAGTATTTCTTGTTTGTTACAGATATTTTTCTACAGAGACGTAGTAAGCTGGGTTAGTCTGAAGTTAGACAGGGTAGATTTGCACCTTATAGACTTACTAAACAAATCTCTTATTTTTAGTTAGTTTATAAGATGCATTTTTCTACAGTAGACAATTAATATTGTGTAATGCATAACTGCTTCTTTAGGAAGTTAATTTCTCCAAAACCTGGTTTTAATAAAGATGGGTTTGTGCCACAATATTTGAATCTATGTTTCAAAAGCCTGTATAACATGAATGCCTGGAACTAGGGTTTTGACTGGCATATTTTAGCGCAAAAGTCTAGTAACAACATTTGGAAACTTGTTCAAATTTTAGCCTCAATTTTTTGAGCAGTTAGATTCAGGATTTTGGTTCAGATGCATTTCAGCTTTATTAAAAAATACATTTCTTTAAATATAGCTGGGCTCTACTAATTTGCGATATAATTGCTAACAAGCTGTAGATAAGCTTTACATTTAAATATCAAGGATGAGAAGAGGTACTCCCAGGACCCGGCTCAGGGTTAGGCAGCTTAGTTTAAGGAGGGCCTGGTAGATTGTTGAGAGGGTTGGCAGGTCTGGAGGGGGCTTCCTGGTCTGGGGAGGACTGATGGAGCAAGTAAAAACTAGAGGTGCACCATATCATATCAGCACCGATAAAAGGAAAATTGACATTATTGGCAATTGGCTTTTTTGGCCAATAATGTCGCCAATAAATGCTGTGTACATGTGTGCAGCCACAGCATGCATGTGGCCAGGAGTTCAGCTCTGCAGCTTGGAGAGCAGGGTCTAGCCAGTAAGTCTGTTGGGGGGAAGAGGCATGGAGGGGGCAGATTAAGGCCCCCACTGTGAGGGAAGGAGTGGGGCTGAGGCAGGCACTGCCCAGCTGGGGAGGGGCTGGGTGTGGGACAGAGCCCCAAGCAGCTCTCCCAGGGGGTACAGGAAGGGGGCAGTTGCTACCACCACTGTGTGCACCCCCAGGGGAGGCATGTGGAGCGCCCCCCAGATCTGTTTACAGGGTGAGGGTGGGCCGCCACTGCAGGCTGGGGCTGGGGGTGGCACTGGGCTCTTCCCAGTGTGGGGGGTTGGGCAAGGGCTGTACTCAGGGTGGGCAGTAGCAGTGCTGGGAGAGGATGCTATGGGGGTGTAGAGCCACCCAAAAATTCCCCATAGTCCCCCAATGCCACTCCTCCCAAAGCTGCCACCACCTGCCCTGAGCACAACCCTGGCCCAGCCCCCATGCTGGGAAGAGCCTGGCACTGTCCCTGGACCCAGCCCACAGCAGCAGCCTGCCCTCATCCCATGCACAGATCTGGGGAGCACATGCCCTCCACGCCTCCCCACGGGGGTGTGCACAGCAGCAGGAGGTGCCCCCATTCCCCACACCTCCCGGACGAGCTGCTCCCAGCTCCATCCCGCAACCCCTCAGCTGGGCAGCACTTGTCCCTGCCCCAGCCCCACTCCCTCTTTCACCATGGGGGCTTCAATCTGTGCCCCCCACACCCCTTCCTCCCCCCCCAACTTACCAGCCAGACACTGCTCTCCAAACTACTGGGCTTGCATGCTGGCAATCAGATTGGTATCAGCCAATATGGCTCGTTAATAATCAGCCATCGGTATCGGCCCAAAAAATCTTCTTCAGGGCACCCCAGTAAAAACATCGCATCCCTGGAGCTATAGAGTGTGGCTGGGCTTTCCCAACCCTGGGGTGTGCTGTAAATACATACAGGGGTTCACTAAGCCAGGTCAAGTTACCCCATGCCAATCTAAAGGTAGTTCACCTCTGACCAGAGCTAACTTTGTATCAAGTCTGCTATTTTAAGGGCAATGTGAATGCTTGCAAACCCAGTCATTAGGCTGCTTGTAGGCATACGGGGAGGCTGGTCCAATGCACTGTAATTACAGCATGTTGGAGCAGACTCAATTAATCAAGTCTGCTGGAACATGCTAATTAGCACACCCCAGCAGCCTCTGCATCTTGTGAATCAGCATCCCCATGCTTAAAAATGGCAGTGGGGGTGCTTTAACTAAAACTCATTCAACAAGCTTTAGTTAAGTTGCCCCACCACCATTTTGAAGTGTGGGGACACAGATATATGAGACACTACAGGGGTTTTAATTAATTAAAGCAACCCTGCCCCCCTACCTCTACAGCACATGTAAAAACACTCTTAGATTGCCTTAACCTTGGTTAGGGCAATCTAAATATAACTCTTGTAGGTACCCCAAATTATCATAAATCTTATGAAATTGTGATATTTGGGACGGTAGTCCTCAAAGCTATTCCCATTATTCCTAATTCTGATTCAATATTTTCCTTGTGGCAATCGAGTGCTGGGAAAATCAGTATTAGGACAAAAATAAGGAGGCAATATGCATGGGGGTGTTTTGGTTTGTTTTGTTTGTTCTGCTTCTTCCTCTGCCAGAACAGAAATAATTTATGAAAGGCTAGTATCACCTTGTTGACTACCTAGCCATCTCAATTCCAAGCACTTACAAAGAATTGTGACGTTATCCTTGCTGGTGACACAAAAGAAAGGAAAGGGAAAAGGCCAGAATTGCCTACTATCACTCTCACTACCATATATTACAGTATAGTAGTACTCTTCACCAGGGTATGGACTGATTATGCAACAATCCTGGACTGCAACAAATACAACACTTCTGGGCCCTGAGAACCTGGACACCTACATTT